CCCCCTCGCCCTACTACTTACTGCTTGTACACATGCATACTCCATAGTATTACTCGTAGTACCTCGATTATCTCTCCACCCCCCCTCTCCCTCAACCTTGGTCCTCACCCCTGTCAAGCCATCTCGCTCGTTTCTGGCCGACGAGAATTATTACCGTTTTGCTTTGCTTTTTTCGTCTGAGTCTCCTTTATTATTATATCATTCCCGCTCTTCCTTTTCCCCATTTCTTCTGCTCTGTGTGCGTGTGTGTGTATGTACGTGTGTGCTTCCTACTCCTCACCCCTTTGCCTACCACTCCGCTATATACCACTCAGCCACAGCCGACGACAACGACGACGACGACGAACACTCCTGGCGACGTGCTCGTGTATCCTTCGCTTCCTGTCTCACCATACACACCAGGCCTGGGCCCTGCTCTTTCTCCCCTCTCCTATCTCTCTCCTCCCCCTCTCGCTTCTCTTGAACTGCAATTCTCGGGCAGAACAGTTCTTTTCCACTCAACAATATCGTATACTACAACAATACATCCACCACTACAACCACAACCATGGGTTTCAGCATCTTCGACAAGATCCAGGCCAAGCTGGAGCTTCTGCGCCTTGAGAAGCGCTACACTCGCTCCCGCCACCGTCGCTCTGCCTTCATCTCCAATGCTGTCTACGTCGATGGCGAGTACGTCCTCCAGACGCCCAACAGCACCGGCTCCTCGACCTCGACGACGGGCACCAATGCTCTGCACGGTAACAAGGCTGGCGCTGCTTCCCCCCCGGCCCCCGATGCCTTCTCGGAAGACGAGGAGGACGCCTACAATGGCAACACCAACACTCGCCACAACGACGATGACCAGGACAACATGAACTCCATCTACCGGCCTCCCAAGCTCCCGAGCAAGCGGTTTTCCCTCTTCAATCTTGCCTCCCCTCCCCCCCCTCCCACCGACGACTTTTTTGCCCCTACGCCACGCAAAACGGATATCGACGCCGAGGAGCGCCAGCGTCGGCGCCTGAACCGTCACAGCTCCATGCCTGGCTTCGGCGGCACCTACGATGTCTCCAAATCTACCTCGAGGTTCTCAGAGCGACGGCTTAGCATGATTCGATAAATACCCTTTCGAAAGAAGAAGCCTACAACTGACCCAAAAAAAGACACCTTCATCTGGTTTCCAACATGGATTTTTTTCTTCTCTCATCCCCCAACGGCCTTTGTTCATAACCTATACCTCCCCTTCCCCCGGGACTCTTGGGCGTTTTTCTTATATACGGTCTTGATTGGCATAGGGTATCTCCATCGATTCCCTCTGCCCATTTTTACTATTCGGCATCACATCTTATGCATGGAACAACACACCCTCTTTTCTCTCCCTTCTGATCGGGGTTTGCATCATTTGTTATTTTCATCACGCCTTCAGCGCAAGTCGAAGCCTGTTCTCTGCTCTTTCTATACTTTTCTTGGATATCATGTCTACTCTTTTTTTTTTTTTTGCAAGATTTTTATATTTCTGGATACATTTGGGAATGCGTTAACGAGAATAAAAAAAAAGTCTCTGGCCCGCCACATTGGCAGTCTTGATCCGTCCTCCCACGCTTGTTTTGGTCTGATTGTGTCTCCATTCCATCCGGCAATGTTTCATTATTTTGTCCGTCTTGTGACTCTCGTCCATGATGAATGGGCCGCGTAAGACCTCGTGTGTTTCAGTCCCGTATCCCGTATACCAATTGCGCGTATCACCGCCACTCGCTTACACGTAAGCGGCGTATCAGCATCGTTATTCTTGGCGAAACGGTAGGACATGGCAGACGCTGTATGTAACCCCCGATTTTGTCCTATTATTACACTCTACGATGGCGTGAATAAAACACGTCACTCATTGAACATCTTTTTTTTGAAAGGACCAAAAAAAAAGACCGTTTTCGCTCTGATTTATTGGTTCTCAACAATGTATGCAAAATAACTACTACAATCCCCTTCCGATAAAAGAAGAAAAAAAAAACGCCCTCCCCCAAACTCTTTTCCCCAATGATATAACGCCTTTATGATGATTAGAAGGGAAAAAAAAAGAAACACGCTTTTCCGGGTATCCGAGTACACCCAAAACAATGTCTAGGACTGGACCCCTCCTAGCTCTCTCTCTCTCTGTCTCCCATTACGTACAACGTCCACGTTGACTCTTTCACCTACTTTGTCTAGCCAAGCATCGCGTCACACAGCAGACATCACAAGACTCTCTTGACCTCTATCGGCGGCGCGTCCACCAAGACCGGGAATAGCACGCAGCTCGCTCAATGAATCGACACGTTGCCCGTGCTCCCCCTCTTCTGCCTCGTCGAGGAAATCAACGACGTCCCTGGCCCTCTTGGTGCCGAGACCGACTAGACCGTGGAACTGGTTGATGTCGCGCGAGTTGACAATATCCAGGAGGTGCTTCTGTGCCTGCGGGGCATCGTCGCGAGAATCCACCTCCATGTCCGGATCCAACTGCACTGTGGCATTGTTGCTGCTGGTGCCGGCGCTGCGCTGCTGGCTAATGCTTCTCCTCTTGGGCTTCGCAATGATGGGCTGGAGAGCTGGACGACGCGTGGTAGGTGCGGCAACAGCAACAACGGTAGGTACAGATGCAGATCTCTGGTGCTTGATGGGCACGGGCGAGAAGTTCTCCCGGTCTTGTTCTTCGTGGCCTTCGCAAATGCTCAGATGTGTGGAAGTTGATTCCGGCTCGACCTCGTCGGCATACTCGACTTGGACTTCTCCCTCGCGGAGCACCATGAGACTGTGTTTGCGCTTCTTCCTTTTAGGGGCAGCGGCAGTGCTCTGGGGAGCGGTGTGGACACTGGCCTCGTCCTTGAGTCCCAGCCTGGCGCGCAGCCTGTTAATTTTTCCTTGCAGACGCGGCTGGCCGGGGAAATACGGCACGGCCATCTCGTACGCCTGAAGGGCGGCAGCATCCTCTCCATTGTCCTTGTGCTGGCGCGCCGCCAGAAGGAGACGCAGCCCCTCAGCGTTGTCCTCTTCGTCGTACTCACCCCCATTGACGCGTCGCTCCAGAGCCTCGAGCCTGCGGCTCATGTCCTCGCTTGCGTGCTCGCGGTGAGCAAGCGCCTCGCTAACCTTCTTCTGCACCATGGCCTCGATCTCGGCGGCCGTGACGACAACCGACGGTGACGTGGCGGGAGCGGAGGTGTAAGACGGAGCAGCCATAGAAGGCCGAGGGCGGGCGAGCTTGCTAGGCCGGCTGTACGACGACGAGACGGGCGACTCGTGGCAGTCGGAGCTCCTCTTGCCGAGCGTTGTCCGTCGACCTCCTCCCAGAGTAGACTTGACGGGGCCAGGCAGCGTCGTGCCAGGTTTGGCTGCCTTGTCCGTGTAGACGGCGAAAGCCTTGACGGGACGCGCGACGTCCTTTGTCCCAGCACCATCCTTTGCCACGCCAACGTTGTGGGCGTTGGCCAGAGGACGGAGGGGCTGGCGTTGGGCACCACCGAGACCGAGTCCCGAGGAGGACTGCTTGGGCATCTGCTTGAAGACGACCTCGTTCTCAATCTCACGCGCCTCGATACGCTTGGCACGCGAGCTGACGTTGAGGCTGCTGAGGGTGTCGAGGTGGTAGCTGCGGAGGGGGGCCAGGTTGAGGATCATGACGGTGATGCCTTGGTTCTGGCCCAGCGAGAGGATACGCGTCATCTTTGACTCGCGATAAGGGATACGCTTGTCGCCGCGCGAGATGGCCTCGATGCACTGGCTCAGCACAAAGAGGCTCTTGTTGATGGCGGCCGACTCGACCAGCCTCTCCCTCCCATTGTCGGTGCGGCGGTTGTCCTCAGATCCAGCTAGGTCGATGGCCGACGCGGTGCTCTCGCGCACCATGTCGCCCGTCGTCTGGATTAGCTTGACGCGCAAGATTGCGTGGCTTCGGCTGCTGTGCGCGTTGAGCTTGGTGGCCGCCGTGACGCGGTTGTTGTTGGCTTCAATGTACATCTTCTCAAAGTCGCGTAGGTCCTCGCACGCGCGCTCCGTCAGACCGGCCACGACCGTCCGCCCATTGGCCTCAGCGCGTAGCGGAAGGCCCGAAGGCGTTCGTTTCTCGGGAGGCTCGAGTAGGTCGTATACCTTGTCGTTATAGATCTCGTAGTACGATAGGGCCACCTGCACCGTCGTCTGGCCGTCCGAATCCCTGGTAATCTTCTTGCCTCGACGGAACACACCGCTTAGCAACCGGGGAATCACGCCGCGGTCCGCCAGCTTGAGTCCTCCCCTCATCGTGTGTGTCTTGCCCGTGCCCGTGACGCCGTACGCGAAAATGGTGACGTCGTATCCCAGGAAGAGAGACTTGATGTGCGGTGCCACTGTGGGTGAGGGTGTTAAAACACAGATAAAACCACGCGTCGGGAGAGCTAAGGAACGATAGCGAGCTAAGCCGTGGCGGGAACGTTACCTTCCGAGGTGAAGAGGTCTTCCTGCGTCGTCGACTGGTCATAGACCGAGTTGAAAGCAAAGGAAAAGTCCTCTGCGTCGTTCTTGGGATTGGGAATCTTGACAATCGTATTGGGGCTGCCGGCCTCGACGCTGTCAGGACGGACAATAATGTCCTTGTCCAGCTCCTTCTCGAGGAGAGGACGTATCCTCGCGACGACACGAATGGACATGATGGAGGGGGGGAGGGAAAGGTAATGCTGAAGGGTTAGTAACAAACGCGTGGGGGGAGGAGGAGGGTGGCAAAGGTCGCGTGAGTGAGAATTCAAGGTTGCCGGCACCTCATCCGCGGACGCTATTTTGGTGTTGACGATTAATATTAGCGGTATGGCAGATATATGGCCGGGGGGCGGGGGGTGGTCGGGACCAAACTGGTCTGGCAGGAATGCTTTGGTGTGTGTGGATATTGGGAAGCAATGAAAAAGAACGCTTATCCTGGTTCGAGCTCTTTGGCGGTGATGTTACCAGAGAAACGGGTGATATAATTGTGGCACTTGAGCCAGCTGACAGCCACATCATTCTCTCCAGCCACATGTGCCACACGTACACTTTTTCCAATAATCCTACCAGCCACAAGCCACAAGCCACCTCGGCAAGGACGTGCGTGACGTCGCGAGCGGCTTTTCCCACCTATTTTCTTTTTTTGCCCTCAAAGCTCTCCAAGCTCAGCTGCCGCCCTGCAATTCTAAGCCCAAAAGAAGGGTTGTTTTCCGACAGTAGGACAACATACTGATCCGCCATGCGAGCTCACGCGTCGCTGGTGCAGAGGACCACAGCCCGTGGTCTGCGCCTTCAACAGCATCCTGCGACGTCGTACGTGTGCCGACAGTGCAGGGCCATCCAGATCAGCTCAGCTCCTAGCACGGATGCGCCGCGAGCTGGCGGAGATGCCTTTGGGTCGTCGATCGAGCCTCTGAGGCATGCGGCCGGTAAGTTGCAGATATCCGGTGTTGGGCTCTCCCTCCTTAGCTGATATGCTCCCTCTTACTGACAATGCTGGCAGATGCCCGGTTCGAAGTGCTTGGATCGCCCTACTCGGTCCTCTCGGTTACGCTGTCAGCCTCGCAGAGGCTGTATACCCGGAGGGGCACATTGGTGGGCGTGGCAGGCAAACCAGACAATGTGAGTAGTACGGCATGTACGGCTCTTTAACAAGAGCGGACATTGATGCCATAGAACATTCTGACTGACCATGACCATCCAGGCCCAATCCACCCTGTCCATTCTCAACCCCCTCACGCGAGCGGCTTTTGGCGTCCCGTTCCTGTACCAGCGCATCTCGGCGACGACCCCGATAACGGCCCTGATCTCGACCAAGGCCCCGACGACGTCCTTCTCTGTAGTGCACCTGGACGGCACGACAGACTGGATGGTGTCGCAGCGGAACGCCCTGCTGGCGTGGACGGGTCACACGCTGACGCCGTCGGCGCGCATCCAGAGCGGCTTGTCTCTCGCCCACTGGGGCAGCACGCACCTCACCGGTCGCGGCGTGGCCGCCCTCTCCGCCCCGGGCCAGATCTACCGCCTCACCCTGGCTGAAGGAGAGGAGTTCGTCGCCCACCCAGGCAGCGTGGTGGCGTACTCGGTGTCGCGCACCCCGCCTCAGCCGTTCCGCTTCAAGAGCTCCAGCTTGCGTCTGCAAGTCCCCTCATCTCTGACGTCGTGGCTCTCGCCCTCCTCCGAGGCCGAGTGGCTGCGCAACCTGCGCGCCTCGTCGGCCTACAAGGTTGTCGCCCGCGCCCTCTACGGTCTGCGCACCTCGGCCCGCCGCACCATCTGGGGTGACCGTCTGTTCATGCAGTTCACCGGCCCTACCACCCTCCTCATGTCGAGCCGCGGTGTGCGCGTCGCCGACTCCCTCACGACCGAGCAGGTCAATGAGATTGCCGACGCCCCTGCCGGTGTCGTCCCCCAAGCTGTCGAGTTGGCTTCTAAGCCCACCGCTGCCATTGAGGCTGGCAAGACGGCGGAGAAGCAGGCCCCTAGTGCTGTCAGCGTTGCGCCTACGCTAAAGGATGGCAAGGTGACATTTGAGGATAAGAAGGAACTCAAGGAGACGCTGTAAATGGACATACATCGGTCCTGTGTTTTTTTACTACCACTATGTTTTTGAACCACTTCTTATGGGACACGCGGACATGTGTCTGGCTTCTTTCTTCTTCCTCGTATAATCATACTGTTGTTGTTTTTCTTTGTCATAGACAACCTTGTACTTTTACTGATGAACATTAAGAAGACACAATTCAAAGTGGTGGCTGAGTAGTAATGGAAATTTGTAGTGCATGCTGCAGGGTAGTAGTTTTTTCTACGAAACTTGAAATAAAAAAGAGAGTTGAAGGCTAACTAGCAACCTATAATATAACGTATTGAAATATTAATAAGCTTAGAATCAATATAAATATTATTTAACAAAAGAGGGAAGATGAGACGATGACTAAGAATAATCTACTCTTTTCCGGCTTGGATGTTCTACGCCTCTAGTCGACTTTCAATTCACTGACGCATTGGGTACAAGACAAATTGTACGGAGTATTGTTGGCCATATTGGTGCTCGTATCTAGCCCTGGCTCCTAATGAATATGACGTCCATCATTATAACTTTCAGGTGGTGGCTGTTTATCCCTGAAGGAAACGATAGATAGCCCAGAGTCACTACAATGCTGTGTGATTTATGGAGCATATCTGTAACAATGCTAGGGAATATGCTAAGGAATGTTTTTTTCGTCCTATTTATTTGAGACGTGCCTAGGGTATCTTTCATCTGTATATATCATGAGATAAGTACTGATACCGATGGCAGTACCATTACTAACATTATTATAGACAGGTCGTCTTCAACATCATACAATGTTTGGTTAACAAAAGCGCCCCCCCCCCCCCCCCCCCACCCCCTCCGGAATTAAAAGCAAAGCGGGAAAAGCACTAACAACCATGTCTATCCCGACGCCCAGTGTCTCCCCAGACTATAGGTACGACTTGTCTGAAATGACCGATGGTGGGATGCCCCCTAAGTTGGCGATTGAGCTCATGTGCTCGCGACTTTGTTGAGAAAAGACCGAGGTCACATACCGTACTCTATCATGTTATCAGCGGCTTTATTATTCCGGGGACTCGCATGCTAATACAAGATCACAAGTTACAGCCGGTCTTGGGTTTTGAAAAGTGAATATAGAGTAATGGCGAGACCCGAGCCGTCTTTGCGCTTGATGGCTTTCCTTGAATCTTGATAATTACCGTCAACAGACCGATCACCAATCTCCTTCTCCTAGTCTGCTCCTTCCTTGATCGGTAAATTGAAATAACTCTAACCTTTCTCAATCACCCTGCTCCTGCTTTGCCTCGCTCTTTCCTTCGTTGCCCTCAAGTGTTATTGTAAGCAAATTGGAAAGAGCTGCATGGTTTCTGCCGCCCACTGCGCTTCCCCTACCAATGATCAAAAGAAAGTGGTTGATGGCCCAATTCCCGAGCTTCTAAATCCGAGGACGGCGCATTTCCTTTCTTCCCCTTGTCTACGCACATTTCACCGGGATTTCTTTCTTTTTTATATAAAGAGCTGCTGCTGCTGCTGCTGTTGCTGCTGCCCCTTCCTGCCCGTAACTCAGATCTGTTTCTGGTGGAAGCTCTGCCTTGTCCACATTGTTTAGACAACAGCAACAGCAACGACAGTGACGACAAACAGCTGCAATGACGGACAAGACAAACGTCGTCGAACCCACTGAGAAACCACCAGATCCTCGGATCGAGACTGGTAAAACCCCAGGGACTGAAACGAACACCGGCATCAAGCGGCAGGATTCTTCGTCTGTCGACCGCGGTCATGACGAGGAGAAGAAGCAGGGCGATGGTGCTCCCCCGCCACCGGGTGGTCCTCCACCTGGAATGGCACCCGGGGACTTTCCCGATGGCAGTTTAGAGGCCTGGATTGTTGTCTTTGGCGCCTCTTGTGGTGGGCTATCCTTCTACAGCTTCTGAGAGAGAGAGAGAGATGTGATCACCCTCTCTGCCTCTCTCTCTTTCCTCTGGCGTACAATTTCAAAGATTAACGGCTGACTTTGGATATATACAGGACTCTTCAGTACATTTGGCTTGATAAACTGCGTTGGAATCTTCCAGAAATACTACGTCGAGGGACCTCTGAGTCACCTGAGCCCTTCTTCCATCAGCTGGATCTTGTCGGCGCAAGTCTTCTTCATGGTCTCCGGTGGCGCAGTCTTTGGCCGCCTCTTCGACATGTACGGCCCGCGATGGCTGCTGCCAATCGGCACCGTAACCTACATCTTTGGCCTCATGATGGTGTCCATCAGCTCCAAGTACTACCATTTCTTCCTGGCCCAGTCCGTTGTGGCCTCTCTCGGCTCTAGCGCCGTCTTTAACTGCTGCATAAACTGTCTCATCACCTGGTTCTTCAAGCACCGCGCCGCCGCTGTTGGAATAATCGCTGCTGGTTCGTCAATTGGCGGTGTCGTCATGCCCATCATGATGACCAGGCTCATTGACCAGATCGGCTTCCCCTGGATGGTACGCGCCTTGGCCTTGATGCTGCTGGGCCTACTCATCATTGTGTGCTTCACCGTCAGGTCACGACTGCCTCCTCGTCCTGCTCCCTTTATCTTTATGGAATACCTCCACGGCTTCTGCGAGCCGGCCATGGGATTGACTGGTCCGTCTTTTCTTTTCTATATAAATGATGTAACGCCTCCACCTCTAGTACATTGTGCTAACGTACATGCAGTTGCTGCCCTGTTCTTCTTCATGACAGGTCTTTTCCTCCCATTCAACTATGTCATCCTCCAAGCTGAAGCTGCCGGCATGTCTCCGAACCTCGTCACTTATACCCTGCCTATTCTCAACGCCGCCAGGTATGACGATACAGGCCCCCGTCCCCTGAGGAGAGGCCTGACGGATGGTTGGCTAACATTGTATGCCGATGGGATAGTGTCTTTGGTCGTATCATGCCCGGAATAATCGGTGACAAAGTTGGCCGCTATAATACCATGATTGTCATCTGCGCTACCTCGGCCATCTTCTGCCTCGCTGTGTGGATGCCCGTCAAGACATCGGCCGGTATCCTGGTCTTCGCCGCCATCTTTGGCTTCTCGTCTGGTGGTTTTATCTCTCTCGCGCCCACTCTGATCGCGCAGATTTCCGAAATTCGACAGATTGGCACTCGTGTCGGCGCTGCCTATGCCGTCCAGGCCGTCGGCGCCCTCATTGGCAGTCCGATCGGAGGAGCCATCGTCTCGGCTCAGGACGGCGACTACCTGGGGCTACAACTCTTCTGCGGGTGCTGTATGGTGGTTGGCACTGCCATCTTTATCGGCGTTCGCTACGTGCAGGTTGGGTTCTCCCTAGAGAAGGTCTGATTGTTGTCATTATTCTCTACTTTTTTTTTTCTTTTTCGTTCCAGGCGACTCGATGAATCAACAAAACGAGGATATAGGGGACGCATTCGCGGTATTACAAAGGGGAAAACAAAGCACACGTCATCAGATTATGAGGAACCACCCTGAGTCATCAAGTGAGAGAGATATTTCCCGAAACACTAGCTGTCACGCCAATCCTGATTGCTATATCGAGGAGCGTGGCCAGACACACGTTCTAGGTGTTCCGTGGAGGTGTCTCTTCGCTCTAAGGTGGTTGCTACGCATACACGGCGAGGATGGCAGATGCCGCCTCGGGTTTGAACCCGGTTGAGCCATGACTAGGTTATTGTCAGACAACAAGTCTGCTTGGGAGCGGAGAGTGGTGAGGTAATTGACAAGGTCTGCTAAGTGACGGCGTAGTCGTAGCGAAGTAGCGGATACAAAGGCACGATGGGGGATGATGTATTGATCGCTGACCCTCTTCCTCGTGAAACGAGGAAGGCGGTTACTTATATGACCTCTTCGATCTGGATGGCCCCACTTTAGTATAGGATTCCTCCAATGCAATGGCCTCACCAGTTTATCCCAACTCGGCAAGCTCCCAACGCTGATCGACAATAGGCACGTATCGGGTTGTGGTTCCGGGTTGGTATGATGGGAGTTACGAGTAGGCTATCGGCTAGGAACCTAAGGAATTGAAGGAAGGGAAAGGAATTGGGCTTAAAAGGTTCAATTCAGGAATAGTGGCCCTACAGTGTTATATAAGGAAGTGTTATTAGTTGTGCGCATCGCAAGACTAGGACTGACAGCCATTCATACTTCCCTATCAGGGATGCCGGGGCGAACACTCGGGATAGAAGCGCATCAATGTTCGAGAATATACGTCGTTTCTCTCCCTTTTAGTCATTCGCATTCAGTGTTGTGCAGATACACACTCGGATCATCGCTACCCCTTTTCAACCACAGCCAAGAAACTCCAACGCTTCCCCACCTGAACAATCCACAAAACTCCTGATATCATATGCTCCCACTTCTTCTTCCAAATAACACACAGAAGCTTCTGAGGAAAATCTCAACCCCTGACCTGCTCAATCTTGCCCGTCTTGACATCATACACGTACCCCGTGATGGGCACATCCAGCACGAGCGGATTCGCCTTCAGCAGCGCAATATCGTCGAGAACGCTCTTCCCCACGTCCCCGAATGGCAGAAACGCGATGCTGTCTGCATCCTGATTCAACTCGGCGCGAATCTTTTCCCGGATGGTGGCGTCGGAAAAGGTGAGCATGCCACAGTCGGTCTCGTGGACGGTCAGTATACGAAAACTCAAGACACACGAAGCTTCTCAGCCTGGGAGAGCACGTACGTGGTGGATGATGATTATCTCCCTCGTGCCGAGAAGCTGCTGCGAGATGACGACGGAGCGCACAGCATCCGATGCTCGGCCTCCGGCGTTGCGCACAACGTGAGCGTCTCCTTCTTCCAGTCCCAGGACACGCGCGGGGTCCAATCTGGCGTCCATGCAGGCCAGAACTAGGAACTTGCTGTTGAAGTCGATTGCATCAGCATCTTCTTCTGGGAGCCTTTCGCCGGATGAGAGAAATGGGGTAGAGTAAATACCGTCCCGGTGGGAGAGGGAGATGGCCCTTGGTGAACTGAGCCGCGTACTTGGCATTGGCGGCCTCGACCTCGGATACAATGGCAGTCATGATTGTTTGCAGCTGGAGGCTTATTCAATGATGATGGTGATGAGGGGGGGGGAGATGAGAAACCTAAACAGGTCGTCGCTGATTGCTTATTATATTAATATAGCAAGTACGTATATCCTGCTCAGCATCATCTGATACTGTGAGCCTTTAATTCATCATCGGTACCCCTCATCTCCGCAATTCCTCCCTTCGCCGTTGGCTAAGGCTGTGCCAAACGCCATACTCTCGGTCGCTGTCGCAATTCGTAGGTTTCCGTCTTGATCAGAGAGCGTTGATGTGGCTATGTGGCTATCGCAGATCTGCAGATAATCAGCTTCAGCACGCGAAGTTTGATCGGCGGGTCTTACATAGTACAATCAAATTTCTGTTTCTGGATATGGACTCTTGCCAAGAAAGACATTGCGCATGTGACATCAGCGCTAATCTCGCAACGATAACACATTATACATACACATTGGTGCTTAACGAAAAGGGAGCTATCGACCTCGGTCCTACTATCACTAAAGTAAATAGGGAAGAAATAGAATAAGATTATATAGTTCAAAAGATGACAACACCAGAATACGCCCTCCGTTCAGCCCGTCCATCAATCATCAGCCCTCTTCATCCAAGTCTCATCTATCTGCATCTCTCTCCATCATCCACAGAGATCGGCTTCCCCGCATGCGACCCAACATCCTGCAGAAGTCACAGGTCCCCATGTTTGGGAGCAGACTACTAGAAATGGTCGTTGCTACCATCAGTACATGGGGTCGGGTGAAAAATGATGCGGTACGATATCGAAAAGGCCGACGAGAGAGGGTTATGTGGCGTACATGAAGGCCTCCTTGAAGAGGGGAGACCGTTGTATACGCCAAAATTCGGAATCGAGCATGTCGACATCAGCAGGTTTGAGCAAGGTAGCGCCACATGGTATCACATGGTTAGACCGGTGCCGAGAGGTATAATGGTTCAAAGGTCGGACGAATTAGAAGGTTGAGTGTGTGGAGAAAAGACTTGTATGTATTTTATTGTAACGTGTATAAACAGGACCTCTTCTAGCCATCATCAAGTCTAGCCATCTAGTCTAGCCATCAAGAGACAACAGGACAAACGGAAACCAACTCGTGGCATCCATACAAGAGTCATAATGAAAGAGTAGGAGAAAGAACAGAAGAAATATATAAAAAAACGTCATGCTCCGTCATCATCAGAGTCCTCGAGGCAACGTTTACTTGCCTAACTTGTTTTCCCTGGTCCAGTTCCATGATCCGAGCTCCACCGGGTCGATTCCATCCTCAAAAGCCTTGTTCTTAGCGGAAATCTGCGCATTGTGCAGAGCCTCGCGGGCGGCGGCACCCCGGTTGTTCAGGTGCGGCATGTAGTCGATAGCGTCCATGGCCAGGCTGAAGCGATCCGTGTTGTTGCGGATGGCCAGCTCAAGAGGCGTGTCAATGTTGCCCTTCTCGCGGTAGCCGCGCACGTGGAGGTTGTGGTTTCCGGGCCTCTTATACGTGAGGCGGTGAACGAGCCACGGGTAGCTGTGGAAGTTGAAGATGACAGGCTTGTCATTGGTGAACAGGGCTGTCCACTCGGCGTCGGTAAGACCGTGGGGGTGCTCGCTTGGGTGGATCAACTTGAACAGGTCCACGACGTTTACGAAGCGGATGCGCAGGTCGGGCAAGTGCTGAAGGAGCAGGTCCACGGCAGCCAGAGCCTCACCCGTGCTCACGTCACCGCAGGTTGCCATGACCACATCAGGCTCCTGTCCGGCATCGGTGCTGAACTGAGGCCAGATACCCGCACCCTTGGTACAATGCTGGATGGCCGTATCCATGTCCAGGAACTGGAGGTGTTCCTGCTTGTCGGCGACGATCACGTTGACATAGTTGTCGCTGCGGAGACAGTGGTCCATGACTAGGGTTTCGGGTCAGTTTCCATTTCGGTAAGAGGCAGAGGAGTAGTCCAACTCACCAGAAAGCAGACAGTTGCCGTCAGGGGGCAGATAGATGCGCACAATCTCGGGGCTCTTGTTGGCCACCACATCGAGGAAGCCAGGATCCTGGTGGGTAAAGCCGTTGTGGTCCTGGCGCCAGACGACAGCCGTCAGGAGAATGTTAAGAGAGGCAATGGGGACACGCCACTCGACCTCGAGGCACTTTTCGAGCCATTTGCAGTGCTGAAGGTGGTGAGAGTGTTAGTCGGACGGGAGGAACTAAAGGGTAGGGGCAAAGGTTGAAAGAGAAAGAAGAAAAAAAAGAAAAAAAGCTCACCTGGTTCACCATGGAATCAATGACATGAATAAAGGGCTCGTAGCTGTTGAGGAGACCGTGACGACCACTCAGAAGGTAGCCCTCCAGCCAGCCCTCGCACGTGTGCTCAGACAGCATCTCCATGACGCGACCCTCCATTGCCAGGTTACCGCCATTGGCATCTTCTTCAAAGTACTCGCCCATCCAGACCTTCTTTCCAGCCTTGTAAACTTCAGCAAGCTTATTCGACTCGGTCTCGTCGGGACCAAACAGACGGAAGTTGGTGTTGTTTTCGGCTATGATGTCCCTGAGGAACTTCGCCATGTTGGACATGCTGGGTCCTGATACCCTACCAGAGTTCTTAACCTCAATGGCGTACTTGCGGAAGTCGGGCATGCGTAGCGGCTTCCTGAGCTGGCCGCCGTTGGCAACAGGGTTGGCACTCATGCGACGAGTACCGTCGGGGCAGAGGGCCCTGAACCTGGGGTCAGGACGGCCCTCCTCGTCCCATAGACGGTCCGGCTCGTAGCTGCGCAGCCACTCCTCAAGCAACTTGAAATGGGCCGGGTTCGTGGCAGGGTCGGTAATGGGCACCTGGTGTGCGCGCCAGAAGCCGCCGAGGTAGTTATCATCAAGCTTGCGGGGCGCAGTCCAGCCCTTGGGGCTTCGGAGCACCACGAGGGGCCACCTGGGGCGGAAGGCCTTGCCGCTGTCACGGGCCTGCTTCTGATACTCGCGGATCTGCACAACGCATCGCTCCAGCGTCGCGGCCATGGCCTGGTGCATCGTATCGATGTCGTCACCCTCGACAAAGTAAGGTTCCCAGCCGTACCCGACGAACAGAGCCTTGAGCTCTTCGTGCGAGATACGGGCCAGGATAGTGGGGTTGTTGATCTTGTACCCGTTGAGATGGAGGACGGGGAGGACAGCACCATCGGTGATGGGGTTGAGGAACTTGGTGCTGTGCCAGGCCGTGGCAAGGGGGCCCGTCTCCGACTCACCGTCACCAACCATGGTGAGGGCAATCAGGTTGGGGTTGTCGTAGACGCTGCCAAAGGCGTGGGAGATGGAGTAGCCGAGCTCACCACCCTCATGGATCGATCCTGGCGTCTCAGGTGTGGCGTGGGAGCCGATGCCGCCAGGGAAGGAGAAGTACTTGAAGAAGTTGCGGAGACCCTCGGTGCTCTGGGACTTGAAGGGGTAGACCTCAGAGTAAACACCCTCGAGGTACGATTGGGAGAGGACAGCGGGAGCTCCGTGACCCGGACCCGAGACGAAGTAGGCATCGAGGTCGTACTTCTTGATGAGTCTGTTGAAGTGCATATAGGTGAAGATCTGGCCCGGAGCTGATCCAAAGTGACCGAGAAGACGGGCCTTGAGGTGCTCCTTCTTGAGAGGCTCGCGAAGAAGGGGGTTTTCCCTGAGGTAGATCATGCCCAGGGAAATGTAGCAGCTTGCCTTGAAGAAGTCGTTGTACAACTCGATATCTTCCTTGCTGAGGGGTTCGCCTTTGACGGTGGACCGCGCAGTGCCAAAGGCACTGAGCGATTCGACCTCTGACATGCTGAAGACGTCTCTTTCTCGCAGTGCGGAAGCGTTGGTGAGTTTGAAAATGGGACAGAGAAGATGAAAAGAGGAAGTCGAGGAAGGAGGGGGGATCCAAGGTTTAAGTCCTCTTTTCAGGACAAAGAACTCCCTTCATCCTGCAGCACAAAGTAGGCACTAAGCTATTGGGGTGGCGCCACCATGCCGTTGGCAGTTACACAACGTCTTCAGCATCTTTCTCTCGTTGGCTACTATACCTCTACATGGCATCATACTTTGTACTGCTCTCTTGTCCGTGGCGACAAAGAAGGTGGACGGCTCTCGCCAGTCCCCGGAAATGATGTAAGACATGTTGTACTCGTAATGCTTCGAGACTTGGTCCCCGCTGTATCGGAAAAAACCAACAAATGATAGCATCTTAGATGGCCATTTTCCACTCTTAATCAAAGAGAGATGCGGAGCTATACGGATCTATCGAGTGGAAGTACGGAGTACGGAGTAAGTGCAGTATCAGCATGAGCAAGAGCTGCAGGAATGGGCTGATAGTTCTGGATACGGCATACAAATCCTTGGCCGGATGCTACGGCCGTGTGGCACACCAATTAAGGACGAGACGTCTGGGCGCATTCAGCAAGCTATTGGATAAGTCACTGGACAAGTCATTGCCAATCGGACAAATCGAGGCCTTCAAACACATGAAAAAGCGTGAGCTTAACTTCCCCCACCTGGGTCACCCCTCATGGATGGAAGGGTTGTCGGTCGCCGGGGGTTCCAGAACCCCGGGCCATCATAGAAATCCAGGGTAGGAGCCTTTGAAGAGCTCAAAGAGCATGAGGATGGTATTCGGATACGGAGACGAGGCGGAGTACATGTGTACGAGTACTCGAGTATCTGTACTCGGGACGTACTACCCCGCAGTGCCGTGGAAAGCCCGGTACCCTGTAGCTGCCGTCTGCCTCGTGTGCTATGTCATGGATGTACCACAGATGCTTAATGACGCGATGTTAACGACACGACTTTGGCATGGAGGTTCCCGTCTGCGGGCCCTGGATGAATCGGTTGCTTGAGTCTTGAAACTGTCAGATGCGACGGGGACTGCAATTCCCCTCCATCGTTGCCTAGGTCTCTCCACCACCCCAGATGCTCGTCTTTGTCGATTTTGTTGTGTTCGCCTGCGTATCCATATGGACATATTATTGCCCGCATGTATGCACAGCGCCACTCGGTATGAGTGCCCATGCGAGTATCGAGTATGGTCGAGCTACTGGTTAGGAACGATGAGCAGTAGACTTGGCTTCGAGGAAAGTAAATCATCAGACCACACAGTCGTAAAGGCTAGCCGTCGTCCCCACGCACACCGCGGACTCCCCCGTGGCGTGGTGGCCCGACGGGGACTATGATAAGTCTTGGGCATGGGTGATATAAACCATCACCTGCCGGACGCGTAGCTATTTTTTATTATTGTTGAACAAGTCTTCTGAAATAATCATATATTAGGAAAACAAGTACACCAGTGGCGGGATGTATGGTGTGACTAGATTGCTGGACCGACTGCATGTGTTTTCAATTTTGCTGTTTCGCCACACACGGAATTACTTGTTGGTGTCAAAGAGAGTGGGTAGGATCCCATGAGGGAGATTGAGACGGGGGGTTGACTTCTCTCTTATCGTCTCAAGAAACCAGGAAGCCCAGGATGTGGGGTGATGCCAATGACGATAGTACCAAGGGCACAGAAAAAGAAAAAAAGGCGTGGCAGAGATTCGACCTAGTCCTAACGTTTCTACGGTCTGTGCACGGAAAATGTGAGAGGCGGAAAGTGCAGCTTAGCAGTCAGGAGCTAGCGAGCACTCAGAGAAGGCAAGAGCCACTGAGGGCAGGCCACTGGGGGCAGGAGCCAGACTCAGTCCAGTGTGCGGGCAAGAGCCATCGCACCCACTACGGGCAAGCGCACACTGCGGGCGGCGGTGGCAGAAAGGCTGTCACGATTTTTTTGGAGCTCGACGACCATAGTAGCAAAAGACCCAAATTCATCATCAACCCGACGCACAATCACCCTTCCACCCCCGGAACCTCGCGCATCACCATTTCGGTCGGGCCACTGTACTATATCTACGCCTCGCACCTCTTGAAAATCTCTCCAACATGTCGCTCGGCGGGCAGACGCCAACCATCATCGTCCTCAAGGAGGGTTCGTTTTTAACCCCACCGCCCCTCCCCCTTGCTCACCCCTCCGATCTGCTGCCCCTGCCTACCAGCCAGCCATCGTCCGGAGGCCATGACTGACACGCTACTTCTTCTCTTATAGGTACCGATACCTCCCAGGGCAAGGGCCAGATCATCTCCAACATCAATGCATGCCTCGCAGTTCAAGCGACCATCAGGTCGACGCTCGGCCCTTATGGCGGAGACCTTTTGATGGTGGACGAGAATGGCAGGCAGACCATCACCAACGACGGCGCCACCGTTATGAAGGTAAGAACTTCGCGTCCCCCCGAATGCCTTCTAGCGCCAGCTTGGTTCTGACGAAGAGATACAGCTTCTCGACATTGTTCATCCCGCTGCCCGCATCCTCGTCGACATCGCACGATCCCAAGACGCCGAAGTTGGCGATGGCACGACGGGTGTCGTCGTCCTGGCCGGTGAGATTCTCAAGGAGGTAAAGGAGCACGTTGAGCAGGGCGTCAGTTCCCAGGTCATTATCAAGGCTCTGAGGAGAGCCTCGCAGTTGGCTATCAACAAGGTCAAGGAGATTGCCGTCAGCACCAGCGAGGGCAACCGCCGTGAGACCCTGACCAAGCTCGCTGCTACGGCCATGACGAGCAAGCTCATCAAGAGGAACACCGAATTCTTCACCGAGAGTATGTCCACGATACCCGCCTTTTTCACGGCTTATTATAGCCTCATGCTGCCCCCCTACCACGCCATTTTATACTAATTCATGCCTCGTCCACAGTGGTTGTCGATGCTGTCCTCGCCCTCGACCAGGACGACCTCAACGAGAAGCTCATCGGTATCAAGAAGATTCCCGGCGGTTCCCTTACCGAGTCGCAGTTCGTCAACGGTGTCGCCTTCAAGAAGACTTTTTCGTACGCCGGTTTCGAACAACAGCCCAAGTCGTTCAACAAGCCCAAGATTGTTTGCCTGAACGTGGAGCTGGAGCTCAAGGCCGAGAAGGACAACGCAGAGGTGCGCGTGGAGCAGGTGTCGGAATACCAGGCCATCGTCGATGCCGAGTGGCAGATCATCTACAAGAAGCTCGAGGCCATCCACGCCACTGGTGCCAAGGTTGTTCTCAGCAAGCTTCCCATCGGTGACCTTGCCACTCAGTTCTTTGCCGACCGCGACATCTTCTGCGCCGGCCGTGTGGCCAGTGAGGACATGGAGCGCGTGGTCCAGGCTTCGGGAGCCGTCGTGCAGTCGACGTGCTCGGACATCCTTGCCGAGCACCTGGGCACTTGCGGCACCTTTGAGGAGAGGCAGATTGGCGGTGAGCGCTTCAACTTTTTCGAGGACTGCCCCGAGGCCAAGACGTGCACGCTGGTGCTGCGTGGTGGTGCCGAGCAGTTCATTGCCGAGGTGGAGAGGTCCCTGCACGACGCCATCATGATTGTCAAGCGTGCGATCCGCAACCACACGATTGTTGCTGGCGGCGGTGCCGTCGAGATGGAGTTGTCAGGTTACCTGCACCGCTTCGCCGACAAGAACATTCCCCACAAGCAGCAGGCCATCATCAAGTCGTTTGCGCGGGCGCTCGAGGTTGTCCCCCGTCAGCTGTGCGACAATGCCGGCTTTGACGCTACCGATATCCTGAACAAGCTGCGCGTGGAACACCGCAAGGGCAAGACGTGGGCCGGTGTCGACTTTGACACAGAGGGTGTGTCGGACATGATGAGCAAGTTTGTGTGGGAGCCGGCTCTGATCAAGACCAATGCCATCCAGGCCGCCACCGAGGCCAGCTGTCTGATCCTGGGCGTGGACGAGACGATTCGCAACGAGGAGAGCCAGCAGCCTCAGGCGCCCGGCAAGCCCCTGCCGCCGGGTGCCGCCCAGCGAGCGGTGCGTGGTCGCGGACGTGGTATGCCCAGGAGGTAAATCCGGCGTTGCGGAAATACGAAATGAGGAGTAAAAGGATACTGGCCAAGGGGAATCAATTTACCGCTCCAGAGGGGATGGGAGAGTCGTCCGGGTATAATGGCTAGGAAAAAAAAGACTACACAGAAATGACTATACAAAAATGAAGATGGAAAAAAAATACGGAGTACTGTCTGTAGAGGCTGTTTGAGCCGGACAAGGTTTTTCGTCTTATAATTGAACCTTGCAGGTGGAGGGTTTTTTTTTTGGTTCCCAACGACTTTGCATTTGCATGATTTACTTGTATGTGCCCGTGTCTGTTGGATTGTGTATATGATTTATGATGGACGATGCCATCTAGGATTTACGAGTACATACATGATACACGAGTCTTATATTACTCTGTAATTGCCTGTAGCCTACAGGTTAACTGGCCAAGCGAGGTAACGCAGCGCACGAGTACGCGTACTGTTGTGGGTTGGGTCATGGCTCTCTCGTATTGAAGCATGACCATTGACGAGACCAGGTTGGCATAAACCGTGCGAGACGAGCGGGAGGGGGGTGGAGGAGGCTTAGGCTTGCTGGGCTTATCGGTGCATCATGGGATCCATGCGATGTAAATACGAGAGTAATATGTACTGTGTAAGTGGGCGAAGCATACGAGTGACTGTATGTAATCTGTATCGTGATGAGAGTCATGGGACAGGTATTACAGTACTACTCCGTACTACTCCGTATATGAGTGCATGTACTGTATCACTGCCTGAAAGGCCGGCAGGGTGTTGTCGGAGCTGCCATGGCTTCGTCTACATGTCCCGACTCAGGTGTTTATCGTGACTCATCCTTCTGCAGGGGAGGGACGCATCCATGGGTAGAAGGAAGGAAGGATATAAGAAGGATAGGAAACAGGAGTAGAATGAACTGTGTTAGTTTATTAGCCTCTTGTAATTCTTCATACTAGGAGGTAGCAGTAAAGAATATGTGTACTACTACTCCGTATGTGTATATTAATACTATATAGACATTATAGACTTCGTAGCAGGAAGCGGCCGAAGAAGCTCGTACGTCTATGGTATACTAGTAGTTGTGATGGTGATATTTCCGTCGTACGTGCGTATAGTATTTATACTTGCATGTAATACGGAATATATTTGCTCAGTATTGCTGGCAATAACGCTGAAATATTAGGACATAATATTAGTAGAGATGGTGAAATACGAGTAGACATGGGGAGATCTTTTGGGAGCTAATATTGCTCCACTCATTCCGTTGCTAAGAATGGCGTGGATATGCGAGTCAAGGGCGAGAAAATGGCTGAAAGAGGACGAGTATTATTATATATCTATATGTACAGATATGAACTATTACTCGTACACTGCATCGACTTCTCGATAGAGAGAGGAAGTTTTCTAGTCGTAAGAGAGGAGAGCTAGTAATTGTATGAATAGTATTACGGGGCGGCGAGTAATACACCAACGGGTCAAGGGTTTCATTACGAGCAAATCTCCTAATACGGCTTGCTGTAAGAAAGAGGGAGAGAGAGAGTGTGTGTGTGAGGAGGAAAGGGAGGGGAGGAGGGCTAAGAAAGCTACATACGAGCAGGAGAAGGTGTGCTAATGCCAAGACCAGACCCAATAGCCGGCAAGGCCGAGGCTTTTGCTGATGGTGAGGGGTGTCAACTATTCTAGCAGAGGGTCGGGGAAGAAGGAGTAAAAGGACGTTCTAGAAGACAAGGTACAACTGTTTTTTTTTTTTTCATTGCACAGAGAAATCGAGGACTATGGAGTAATAATACAGGCAGAAAGAGCCATGAGGGATGGAATAACGCGAAGAAAAATACTATTTTGACATGTTAGGGATATAGTAGGGAATGTTGGTGTTCTAATCTGCACAGATATTAATATCAACAAACTGCAGCCTATATTACATGCTCGTATACATCCATGTATTAATACTCCGTACATGTATGTACATTGCATTGAATTGCTGCAGAAAGTACGGATACTCGCACATGTAATAAATAATGATAATATACGGAGTAGGCTGGGCCGCATTGTTCAGGGAGGGGCGGGGGCCCCTGAGCGCTGAGAAGAACAGGCGCTAAATGAACAGTGACAGTGACAATGTAACGTCTGGTGCTTTCTACAAACGAGTTCTTCCATATCCGTACATGTAATGATGGTATATTCTCGTCCTTCTTCCCTTGTATGCACATTGCTATATATCATAATCTGTACACCTTCCTTCGATCCTTCAATGAACATTATTAGTAGTCTATTCTGCTATAACTCCTGACGGCAACTTCGTATCACAATTAGTCATCTTCCTGTACGAGCATCGCGGAGACTGGAGGGGGAAAGGGAGAAAGTAAAAAAGAAGGAAAGAAAGAAAAGAGTTAGAGAGATATCTATAATAAGTGGGGTGCCATGTTAAGAAAGTAAGAATGCACTAGACGGAGTAAATAAGTAAAATCATGGCCCAACCAACGAGGCCGATCTAAGAATGGTGCCAAGGAACCTGGACCACACCTAATCCTGTACGAGGCAGGTATACTCGTATGTATCAATTTAATCTACTACTCTATACCTAGCCCTAGGCAAAATGTACGAGTAAAAGACGCTCGCTATTTGGTGATGGCGGGCGCCGCCCAATCACGCATGTCTAACCGCGTGCTGTTCTATTTACGTACTGGGTTGCTATATAACTATATAACAATACGTTGACTGGAATAGTGAGTGTCTATAACGTGCGATATAATAATATCGATAGCTGAACTACTATTGCCGGCACGTCGTCGGTGTGCGTGACTGACACGCCTTCTAGCAGAGAGTGGGAAGGACCTGGGAAAAAGAAAGCAAGGGTCCTTCCTTCCCTTTGCTTTTGCCAAGACGCCACTGCTCCCGTAACTCGCTACTGCCCTCGTAATCTAGCATTAATAATAATACCCCGTACCTTCCGTTAATATTATTACGGGGGGGGTTACTTATCCTGCTAATTCTGCCCGCTCGATTGTGTACATTGCCTCGTACAAGTAAGTCCGTATTCCTCGTTCTTACGTGCAGGCGCGACCCTTTCTCCCCTCCTTCCCTGTTCATCTCTCTCTGAGTAGCTCACCTCATCTCTCCTCCTCCTCCTTCTCCCACCATCACCGACGAAAGCCATTCGCCTCCGCCTCCGCCTCCGCCTCTACCTCTCTTCCTGCCAGCCTACTGCTCAGACATTAGAGGCTGTCGCCGACGTTCCGGCCAAGACCCAAGGACCCGCGATGCACTCGTCTTGATACGAAACATCGCTCTTCATTCACTCGTCATAAAACCCACACATTCGTTACCACACCCCTTCTCCGACGCTCCCGCTGAGCCTGCCGCCGATCCCTGCCATTGCCGACGACTCGCCTGACACATTCAAACCTACCTTAACCACCACCGCCTTTCCCGACTTGATCGAAAAGAAAAACGACGACGCGAAGAAGAGGAAAGAAAGAAACTCTTGAACCAAACTACACAGAAGCACATCATGATTCTCGGACTCGGGTCTAGGCGGCAGAGCCTCATCCTGCTCGCCCTTTTTGCTATCATGCTGGTCCTCGTATTTTACAAGGTACTTTCGCCTCCCAGCTCGTCTGCCGAGATTAACTTTGCTCTGTCCCTCCGGCCTGGCTAACATTATTCGGATGACAGCAAAATGACCTCCCTGATGTTCCCAAGTTTACCGACTTCAAATCGGTGCTGCCCCGCGAACGTCTCAATGTCCATCCTGCAAAGAAGGATAATCTTGAAAAGACCCACCTGCTGCTCCCCGCCCCCGCCGGTATTGCAAGCATGTGCAAGACACTTCTGACTGCCAGCGTTCTGGGATACCCCGTCCCGACCTTGATTGGGTACAACCAGAGTTACGATGATGGTAAGTTTTGCTGCCGTTGACTGCATGGCTACGTTCTCCGCCTCGGCTCCCCCCCGGTGCGGATGCGCTTCTTGCCTGACACCCTGACTGACAACCCTTGACTTTTGCAGACCAGCTCATCAATGGTGGTCGTCACCTCTCAAAGATCAGCCAGGTGCTCGAGTGGCTCGAGTCCCAGCACTCTGAGAAGAAGGACGACCTGGTGGTCATTGTCGACGCCTATGGTGGTTTCAACTACCAGAACAGCCGTGCCGGTATCCAGTCCCATCTGGAGGGCGATGCCTGGTTCCAGCTGCCCTTTGAGATCCTCGTCCAACGTTACCAAGCTGTCGTCGAACAGGCGAACCGTGATCTCGCGGCTAGCATGGGGGACGCCTTTGAGGCAGAGGGAATTAACCAAAAGATTGTCTTTGCCGCGAGCAAACAGTACGTGACCTTTTCCAGTCTTGTTCTTGCCGGCATGCTATTTCTCCTACGATGCATGCCTGACCGCTAACATTGTTTCACAGGTGCACTCCTAACAACGCCGAAAGCGCATCCTGCTACCCAGTTCCCGACTCTCCCCTGCCCTCTGCCCTGTATGGCAAGTTCACGGATTCTCCCGATGCGAACTACACCACCCACCGTCAGCGCTACCTGAGTTCCGCCTACGTCATTGGTCCCATGAACGACATGCTCTCCCTGTTCCGCCGCGCCAACGAACGCGCCACGTCTGAACGCGAGCGCTCTCTGCAGATGCCCTCGGACCCTGCCTTTGAGTCGTCACTCTACATGGGCAGCGACCAGGCCATCTTCCACCGCATCTTCGGCGAGCAAGAGTTTCAGCGTGAGGCCATCCGTCGCCGCCACGGTGCCAGAGCCCGCGGCAAGACGGTAGTCGAGGGCGTTAGCGTCAAAGACGTATTGGAGCCCGACTTCGCCCACGAGGAGCTCAAGATCAAGGACGGCAAGCCCGACGAGTTCGGCATGTTCATCGACTATTGGTCCGACTTGGGCATGCAGACGACCCATAGCCTCGACGACGGCCTCTGGCTGACGTACAAGGACAACCTGCCCGAGAAGCAGCTGGCTGCCAGCCGCCCGACCGGGCAACCCTGGCTCTGCGGGCCCCAGGTCTCAGGCAAGCTGCCTGTCGAGGTGGTCAACAGCACAAGCATGCCCCGATCCGCCGTCCCCGACGATGCGCCCTTCCGACCCCTGCGCGGCTGGGACGAGATCCCCCTCTACACCAACGTCTGCCTCGACACGATCCCCGTCATTGTTAACCACGCCGGCGACCAGACGGAGCGCGGGCGTGACTGGCCTGAGATGTGGATCCAGCCTCACGCCCGCCGCCTCATTGACGATGTCCTCGCCAGCAAGCAAAAGGACTCGCACGGCTCGGTCCGTGGCGGTGCCATTGTGGGCCCGGGAGGTCGCTACCAGACTTGGAAGGACCTGTGTCCTGCCAGCCTGGATAATGAGCTATACAGGGATTACTATGACGAGGTATAGATACAGAGAACAGTGCTTGATGTTGTATGGGCCATGTCTTTCACTCTCTTTCTCTCTTCCTTCTTTTCCTCACACCTGTACACCTGGCTTTTTTTCTTCATTTTTCTATATTTCCTGCCTTTCTTTGTTTATATTTTCTCTCTGTGTTCCCAACTTACAGGGGCGTTTTGCGTTTTTGATTTAGAATGGGCAGATTTACATTTTGCTATTTTGTCGGACATTGAACCCAGCGAATTTATTGGAGATTGATACGGTCAGGAGATGAGCGTTATACCGGATTCAGCTTATGTCTCGTTTCTTCACTTTTCTTTTCATTTTTGGTGCAGTGTTACGGGAACTTACCCCATACCCTCCCCCTTTTCTTCTTCTACAAGGTATATAATTGTATGTCTAGAGGAACGCCTCATTTTTTTACCAAGCCATTTTAAATATTTTTGTCTTTGAAAGTTGTTTGCATGGTTCATGAATGATATATAGGATATAATAAAAGAGTGTATAAACAGCTGGAAGAAACGGAGAAAATCATGACGGGAGAAGAAGAAAGAAAAAAAAAGATCTATGAAGGTCCTCCAAAACCCAAGCCATCATCGTGATCGTGATATAGATTGGTCCTGTGCCCCTGCGCAGCCAAGAGTAGATTATCGTCATGTCCGATTATATCCCCATGGGTCCCGGCAGTGTCACCACGATGGCTCTCGACGAGGACATTGGCCGTCGTATCGTGGTTACCGATGGTGACGCCGGCGCCGACATCGTCGTCCTGATCATCGATGAGCATCTCGAGGTCGTGGTCGACGACGGCCTGCGTGGCGACACTATCATGGTCGTCGTGGTCGTCGTGCTCACGGTCACTCTGGGTCTCACTCAATAGAGCTTGGAAGTCGGATGTATGCGTGTGGTAAGTGTCAAATGAAGGGGTACCATGGCGACTGATTATCTGAGGATCGATAGGTTGTTGCTGCTGCTGCTGTTGTTGTTGTCGCTGTTGTTGTTGTTGTTGTTGTTGTTGTTGTTGTTGATGATGATGTTGATGGTGAGGGCCATGGTCGTGATGCTGATAGGCCGTGTGATGATGATTATGATGACGGAGGAGTTGCTGCTGCTGCTGCTGCTGCTGCTGCTGGGAGTTGTTGCCGTCGGAGTTGCTGTGGAGGGTGCGCGACGGGGCGATGGAGGAGAGCTGGCTCGGGTCGGCGTATTCGTCTTGGGTGCGTGGGTTGGGTATCGTTTCGTGGAGGACGGTCATGTCAGTCTGGATAGTTGGGTCTGCGAAGCTCATGGTGTCGTCGTCGTCGTTAGGTTTTTCGTGTCCCTGTTCTTGGTGTGACGTGAACAAGGAGGCTAGTGTCGGTGCTGTTGTCGGCGGCGTTGGCTCCGAGGAAGAGGGGGAGGAAGACGAGGTGGTGGCGGTGGTGTTGGTGGTGGTGGTAACAGCACCGCCGCTGCCGCCGCCACTGCTAGAGTCCTTGCACTCGGGACAGTTTCGAATGATGTCGCTGACAGTCTCTTTGATGCGACTCCAATGGTACTTCTCGGCGATGGAGGCTGTAGTCTTGTTGATACCGCCGTGGTGCTGGGCATGGACGGCGCGCGCAATGTCGAGCTGGAGTGCCGGGTCAGAGATGACCTCCTTGCCCTTGAGCATGAGCTTGTCGCCGTCGAGGAGCTTGTAGCTTGTTGCGGCGCTGCGGAGACGAGACTTCTCGGCACGGTCGGCGCCATTAGGGTATTTCCCGTACTTCAAGTAGTACTTTATCTTGTCGAAGCGCTCCTCGCTGACGAGCAGGTCGTCCGAGTCGCCGGGGGCCAGGTCGCGTCCATAGATGATGGCGTCGATCAGCCGGTCCGGGTGGCTGCGCAGGTTGCCGCAGCCCTTGACGCGGCCGATGCGCTTGAATCCTAGGGCATCCCAGATGCGGCACGACGCCACGTTGGTCTCGTAGACCAGGTTGAAGACGCTGTACGTGTAGCCGAGGCGCGGCGCGTAGTCGATGTACGCCTCGCCCATCAGCCGGCCCACGCCGCGGTTGCGCGACGCGTCCGTCACCAGGAACCCCGCGTTGCACACGTGGCTGCTGCGCCCCGGGTAGTTGGGCTTGATGTAGAAGGACCCGAGGCACTCGCGGCTCCAGTCCTTGCCCTCGACGACGTCCTCCGCTCTCGACAGGCTACCCAGGAGCATCACCGCCCCAAAGTTCTGGAACCAGTAGCGCGTGAAGGACTCCACCGTGAACAGCTCCATCATCGGGTACGTGTCTCCGCCCTCGATCTCCTTATTAAGCTGGTCACACAGATACGCGCACAGAGACTCGGGCACCCCGGAGGCTGATGCCAGCGGGACAATGGTCGCTACCGTCTGTCGGTCTCGCAGGGTCACCTGCCTCGGAACAATGTCCAGCGGAAGCTGGGGCATCGCCGGGTCCGGGAACGGAGGTTGACCCGAGACCCGGTAGATGGGCGGGCTGGCCGGGTCGTCCAAGAGGGCGGGCATTTCCTTTTTTTTCTCTTTCTCGCTTCTTTTGATCTCTTTTCTCTGATATGGTCAGACAACGAGTTATAGAAAAACACAGGGGAAGCATATACTAGTACTGACAGTAGAACCCCGAAACGGGCTTGAACCACTTACACAAAGCGTCTTGATGAGACAAACGCCGATCGCCGATGTGTGGTGGGCAGCCTTCCGTTCCGGCCCGCCCTCCCCCACACCCCAAGAATGGGTTCCGCTCGGTCAGACGGAGACGTAACTTGGTCCTCGAATAAAGTAACACGACCAGAGAGCTGGTTTCCCCCAAGTGCCTGCGGCTTCTCGACAGATCGGGCAGACTAATTTCGTTTACGGCGTACGGTGTGGAAATTGCTATGCTGGAATATTCGGGCGTGAAGGTTCCTGCTTAGTGAGGGGAAATGCGCAGGAGCCGAAGTTTGAGGCACGGCGCTGTTGAACATCATGACGGATGAAAGGGATTATGTAATATGCCGCGGTATTCTCTGCGATAATGTTGTTCCGGGATACAGCAGGTACATGCAAGTAGGTACAGGGTATCTGGGGCTCGATGTGAAGATGACGCGCATATTTGGTACAGGTAATATGCTTGAGCAAATAGAGCAAATACAGCATTCGATCCATGCTCCTCATCTATTATACAAACGCAATAATGTTATACAATTGGTTCCTCCTCTTTTTCCTGGACTTTTTCTTATCCCCTCATAGTCTTTTCCACGTCGGCAGTCTGAGATTTGACGGCATCGAGCTGAGCTTCAATCGATGCGGCGGCAGTGGTAGAAGTAGAAGTATCAGCCTTGGCCTCGGCCTCAGCCTCACCAGCAGCCTGTCCCATGATATCGAGAAGAGCATCCTCGCTCACTGGAGTCGAGGTAGGAACAGCGTCAGCCGCCTTCTGCGAGTAGAGAAGCTGGGTCTCCTCCATGTTGAGGGCCTGGTACTGCTGCATCTTGCCCATGACGTCCTTGCGCTTGCGAAGGGCCGCGCTGTTTTCTGAAGCCATGTAGCTGGCTAGTTCCTGTGACGTCTCCCAGGGGACGGCGCCCATAGAGGAGTCTCGTTTACGGCGCTCCTGGCCACGCTGGCCGGCACGGCCCAAGACGCCACCGATAATGGCGACGGAGCGGAGACTGTTTCCCCCCCCGCACGGTTCTTCTTGTCAGCATTCTACTTCCCTTGTCACCCCTCTCTTTTCCCCAAGAGAGCGAAGAAGGCAGAGACAAAAAAAAGTTGAAACGCACCTGTCGTCGTTGGCTGGGATAGTATAAGTAACCCAGGTAGGATCGGCATCCGTGTCGATGATGCCAATGGTAGGAATCGTCTTGAGCCCACACTCGTACAGCAGGGTATAGTTCTCGAGAGGGTTGAGACAGACGACCAGATCGGGCATGAGGGGCTGCGAGGTGACATTGTACAGGTCGAAGCCGTCGACGGTCTTATCGTTCTCGTCAACTACCTTTGTCGCGTGCCCCTGCAGCATGACGTCCCTGTTGGTGATAGACCCAGGAGCCCACTTGGTGAAGACGTGGTACGCCCCGGCCCGCTCGGCCGCGCTGGTGACCACCTCCATCTGGCCGTTCCGCGTGCCAACGAACAAGATGATGCCGCCGCGGTAGGCCACGTCCTCGACCACGCGCGCCGCCCGCCTCAGGTGGGCCAGAGTCGTCTCGAGGGCGATGACGTGCGTGTCCTCCCTCACTCCGTAGATGTACCGCGAGTTGGCCGGGTTCCACTGCGCCTTGTTGTGACCCATGTGCGTCTGCGACGCCATCAGAAGCTCCAGCGACACCTCCTCGGCCGCGGGCGGGTTAGCCAGAAGCTCCGTGGGTGAGTACCGCCGCGTCAGCTCCGATCCGAGCTTCTTGGTCGTCCGCTGAACACGCTGAAACTCCTTCCATTGCTCTCGGGGCGTCATCTCCACGCCGCCGACATTGTGCGCGCGCGTCCACGATCGCCCCTGGTGCGCGTTGCCAGAGTCGATACCAAGGCTAAGAATTGACTCCTGGGCATACTTGAACTGTTTTCGGCGGGAGCTTCGGGGTCCCTGCTGCTGCTGAGGCTGGAACTGGTGCGCGCCATCCACTGGGGGGGGTGTCAGTGTCGATGTCGAGACCGGTTCATTGCGTCGAGTCGGAGTCGAGTACTGTTGTACCAGGGACACTGGTCTGGACAGAGTGCGGCGTCCTAGAGGTGTAGACAGACTACGTCAGTGACTGGAAGCAGTAGACTACCGGTAGAGTCAATGCTGAGAGGTCATGTAAACTCACCGTTCCGCACGATGGCGCTCCTTGCTATCATCGCGACGGCTGCTGCTGTTCCTGTTTGACCAATATGAGAGTGTCGAAAGGTCCGACTCACCTTGGCCAAAACGAAATTTTGGGGCCCTGAGCAACATCCGGGTGGATCCATAGTTTTTCCGCTACACCACTCCAGCCTCTTAACAGAGTATTACCACTCAATTATTTACCCCCTGGCCTGGCTCATAATGTACTCGTAAATAGATAACTTCATTCGTTGTACGAGTAAATTCAACTTCAACGAAATACCATTGCCATAATACATCACAATTCTATTTAAAACAGCAAAATTATCATGCAAAGATCATACGATACTTGAAGTCTTGATTAGGAATTCTAACAACCATGCCATTCTGAGTATTCAAGTAGAGATATCAGCAAACAGCAATTCAATTAATACAATGAGCCGCTTCGTATTAATCAAAGGATACTGGTTCTTCTATGTATATGTAGCAACGTCCCATCGCCTGACACACTCTGGCTTTTGCAGCTAGCTCCCCTGCTTAACTTATCCGCCCATCTCTCAGCGACTCGTGGCCCTAGCAACAGTAAAGACGCCAATAATGACCACAGCCAGGGTGACAATAGCTCCGGGAAGTAAGAGGTCGTTGGGCACACCGGGAATGACTTGTTCTTGCTGGTGGTGGTGGCGGTGGTGCCTGTGACCGTGGTGAGACCTCCTAGACCGTCCGATAGACGACCCGTCATCATCCGATGACTCGTCAACATCCGATTCGTCGCTGTGGGCTCTGCGGCGCTCACGGATACCCGCGGCCGAAGACGCAGCGGGCGTGGGGATGGCGGGCGTCTCGACAGACGCAGTCGGGGGGGCGCCAACGGCAGGAGGCGTCTCCGGGTCGTGAACGTAGAGGTCCACCTTGTCACGGCGACCCTGGCGGGCCAGGAGGATGGCCTCAAGCAGGTCATTATCCGTTGTGATGGAAACAGTATCACCCTCGTCGTCAGCGTAGCTAAGGGCAAATCCAGTGTCACTAATCTTGCCATCCTCAACCACAGGCGCGCCGCCGATGCCGTCAATCTCGTGACCCAGCTTAGCAATGACCGAGGCCACAAAGACCTCAATGCCCTGCGAGGCAATCACCTGCAGACGGTGCACGCGTCCGGACGGCGCCTTAAACTTGAACGGGAAGGGCACCTCGGCAGGAGGCTGACCAGTCACTGAATGCACCATGGAGTGTGGGGGGGATACGCCGACGTGAGAGGCTGAGTCGCCGGGGGCAAGGCTGTCTCCCAGGCGTTCGCGCGTCATATCCGGCGACATCATGCGAGATCCCAGAGTAGTGTGGTGGTGGCTGTGGCTGCCCTCGCCGGACATCATCGACTCGGTCTCGTGGTCCATCGAGAGCCAAAACTTATTCCAGGCAGGCCCTTCACCATCGCCGGTAGACATTGTGTTGACCTGCTCCAGCGTAGCGTACGTGAGCTTGAGGACGTCAACCATGCCGACAATTTCGCCTTCGTCATTCATGACGGGAAGGTTAAGGTAGTGGCCATCTGTATTTTGAAGAAAAAGGTGTCAGTATGTTATAACACCACATTTCGGCACAACGATGGGCACCTACCGTGCATCTTGCGAAGAGCCGCCTGGATGCTCATGTCCATAGGAGCAAAATCAGGGTGGGGGGTCATGACGCGAACAACGCTGCAAGTGGCCGGGTCCAGGCCAGGAGCAATGACACGGAGGACGACGTCCTTGCTGGTAAAGATGCCAGTAATGGCACCCTGGTCCTGGACGAGGATGGCTGTGGTGTGGTGCTCCTTCATGAGAGCAGCAGCCTCCTTGACTGACGTGCGCACACTTACAGTGGGCGGTGGGATGCCGTTGAGGACCGTCTCCAGAGTAGGACCGGACATCTTGGTACGCAGAGCCTCAACGTACTGGATAATCTGTTGAGGCTGGCTGGCACCGAGCTCAGACTGAACGCCCTCCAGAGCATCATACAGCTTCCTGGAAGACGAGTAAGCACGCTCGAGCTTCTCCATGGCCTCGTAGAAGCACCTCGTGATATCGAGGACGCCGGAGATGTCCTGGTTTTCGTCCATGACAGGCAGGTGGCGAAAACCCTTGCGAACCATGAGGTCGAGGGCATCGGTGGCGCTGGTATCGGTGCGGGCGCAGAGAGGGTTCTTGGTCATGATGTCGGCAATAATGACATTGGCAGCCTTGGAGCCGGCACCAACGACGCGGAAGGCAAGATCCTTAGCCGTGAAGATCCCAGCAATGCGGTCGTTATCGTCAGTAACAAGCACACAGTCCTCCCGCTTGGCAGCCATCAGCTGGGCGGCTTCTGAGACTGTGGTCGAAGGCTTGATCTGGAGGGCCGGGCTGGGCTTCAGGGAGAGGACGGTGCCCGGGGGGGCCTTGCGGCTGTGACGGGTGCGGCCGGAAATGTGCTTCTTTTTGGAGAGGTCGTTCTCCATTTTGCGGCGGATGGCCTGGGATTCGTCAAGTTAGCCATCTATCAAACCAGGCTCAATAATAACGCATGTCCACAAGTGACAAGAAAGGCCAACCTCATCGCGCTTCGACTGCTTCTGACGGCTGGCGCTGACGGTGGACCCTCCATCGACGGGCTTCTCCTCGATGGGACGAGGGATGCCGGAACCACCAGGACTGCTCGTGTGCTGCTGCTGCTGCTGCTGCTGCTGCTGCTGCTGAAAGGGAATAGCACCACGGCGGTCGCGGTTGGGTGTACCCCGAAGGGTGTTGCCCGAGATGGTGCCTCCGGAAGACATGGCTCAACAGGGGGGTAGGATATGTGTCTAAGGGACAGCGACAAGGAAAAAAGGGCGACGGGCCGCGAAGTCAACGATGATGATGATGTACGACCAAAAAAGCACGGCCAGTATTAGACGTAGCCAATGACTCAAGATCGGGTCGTTGAAGCAATGTCTTGGATGCTGGCAGCAACTTTGATGGTTGAAGACGACAGAGGGGAAGGGAGGCTGTGGAAGACTACGACGCCAGCTAAGACTTTCTGGATTCTCTTTGTGCCTTTGCCCGTTAATTCAGCGTCGGCAGAAGTCGCGTCAATAGCCCCGAGGTATTTCATGGGGGCAGGGGGCATTTGGGAAGGAGCTAATCCCAGTGACCATGTGTCCATAATTTATGACCATTTATGGGTTATCATTGGTTATCGGAGCTTGAAATGACCCAGAGGGGGAGAGAGCAGACAAAAAGAGGAAGACACCTCATGCATCTACATCTCAGAATAAACTGCACTAGCTATTATGTCAACACCACTCTTGCCTCTATGCGTAATAATACTTATAATATTATTATCACTGTTCTACTCCGGAGAATCCAGCAACGGCGTCTAGGTCGTCGCTCTTCCCTCTTGGCGCTTTGTTTTGCCACCATTTACTCGTAGTAGGCAAGTACTGCCGTAGCTCCTGCCTTGCAACTTTGTAGCGTTAACAATTGATATTGGATTTTGCAGAGAAAGACACTGGTTCCTCTTCATCTCTTATTTGTCACATGATATAATAATGCCTTCATCATCTTTCATCAAAACGCTGTCATCCACATATAACCCACAGTCATCAATAAAGCATCTGCCTTAGTGCTATTGTTGCTATTGCTGTTGTTTGCTCCATTGAGTCGATATTGCTCTCCCTCGAGCATCATGGCTACTGCTCTCTTGACCATGGGATGGGAGATCATCACCTACGATACGACACACCGACGGAACAGTGAACACTACTATGGTAAGACATCGCAGTATGCAGTCTCTACCAAACTAATTAATATCGGACAATAGCAGCCGTGCGAAGTATCACTCTTGCTCGAAGTAACTGCAGTATTTCGCCACGTAGCAATACTACGAGCAGGGACGGATCATGAGGTGATGTTGCCTCCATCGCCATGTTTCTATAAGTCTTGTGTGCAAAAACCACCAGCACCAATGCCGTAATATATCAGTGAGCTGCCACGGATTCATTCTTCAGTAAAGAAACCAGACGCAGGCGGCAAACAATGCCGAGAAAAAAGGACAAAAAAAAGAGAGGAGGAGAAAACACACCGTACTCCGAGCGGCGGGCTCTTGTAACGAATGGAGCTGAAGATGGCACCATGGTCCTGACTACCATAATTGGTGTACAACAATGGCCAGAGATTCGAGAGCAAAAAGCCGCCAAGGAGTATAGGCACATGGACTGCGGCCTGGGTCAGTCAACTAATTAATCCTGGTCTCTCCAACATTCCAGCCGCGTCGCCAGGGTGAGCCAAGACGATGAGAGAGACGTCAGCGCGCGGATCGTTCATTGTCGCATGTTCGCGTTGCCGTGGCAACCAAGAGTGGGCAAAGTAAACAAGCCATCTCCAGTTCAACTTACACCCATCCCCTGCTATCATCCCCATGACTTTTCTCTTTCTGCATTTGAATCCACTTAAACAAGAAAACTACATTATCTTCAAAGGCTTCAACCTTACATTCTGCCCTTTCTGAATCTCGAAACACCAAAAAAAAGAAACAGCAGATCCTCACTGCTTGAGAGCAGGCTTCAAGAGTTCCCGTTACACACAACCACCACACATACACTTGGTGTGAATATAGACGTCACCGTCAACGTCCCAGTATACTGAGGACAACGACGATTCAAGTTTAGGCCCCGGGCCAACTTGTGCTTGCGCTGCGCCAGGTAGGTTTTCTAATCTCCGTTCCTACACCTCTTTCAGTCTCAGTCCCCCTCAGTATGGACAACAGATTAACAATGACAGATTCCGGACCATCCAGGATTCCCCAAAACGACCGAGAGGAACCGACGACAAAATCTCTCTCCGGAACTTCCCTTCATCATGCTGCCCATATCAGAGTCAGGACTCCCCCAGGCGAGGAGGCAACATCGCCGCCAAAGCTCGACGCCGACGGCGGCTCAGTCGAACCGCGTTTCGCCTTACCCCGGCATCCAACAAAGGCGAAATGTCGGTCACCGCCGCGGCATCAGCCTCGACTCTCGACAAGTTCCGACGACTCTTTCTGCAACAAGACAGAAATACGCAGTGAACTCGAATACTAACCAACAAGACGCAGGATTAGCCGCCATTCCGCAGCATCATGTACTGCGGGAAGCGCAGCAGCACAGCCAGCAAGCACGCCCGGGTAGGGCCACCCAACAGGCCGAAACGTCTACTAACCACCAACAGCACCTCACAAACAGCATCAGCAGCGACAGCCTTTCTTCTTTCAACACAGAAACTTCTCCGTCTCACGGCGCCAGGGTCCCTCACCACCAACAACTCCCCCAAAGCCAGAGCCAGGACATGAGCCAGTCGTTCCTCGACGCAAGCGCCATGTTCAGCTCTTGGAATGACAATATCGCCGCCATGGCCCACAATGCCCGTGTGCCCTACGGACATGGCATCATGCCGACCAACGGCTTTGATATCTTTGACCAGCAGAGCCCGCTCACCACGCCGACCTTCTTCAACTTCCACGAGGCTCAAACCCCGTCGGCTCCTGATGCCGCCGAGAGGAACAGTGGTCACTCCCGCAAATCCTCGCGGAGAATCAGCAACGGCATCGCCAATCAGGTCAGCAAGTTTGAGAACATGACTGGCGAGCCTGGTTTCCGAGCTAGCACGCCCCCTTTCCAAACCTACTGTATGTTTACTTTGCCCCCCCGCCCCCCCTCCCTTTTCTTAATACATACATAGGTATACTGACATGGGCAGCCTATCTTCCCCCAACCCCCACAGACACCCCCAGTGACCGTTCTGTGAAGCGAGAGTCCCAGCCTGACCGTTTCTCAGAGGGATACGACGGCTCTATGGAGGAGACAATCAAGCCTTTGAGGAGGCAAAAGGCCAGGCCTCATAGTCTGGCCATCTTCCCCAGCCGCGCCCCCTCTGCCGAGCCCCAAAGCAACGGCAACAACGTCACCTGCCCCAGCACCCCCAAATCGGGAACTTGCCCCATGCCCGAGACTTTCCCCTCCGATTCAAACCTGGAATCCGTCGCTCACGACGAGACATTTGAGTCGTTTGACGACGCCAGGAGCAAAATCGATGACTTCACCTACCCTCCCCGCCAGCCCGAGAACCAGCAGCAGCACAATGCCCTCATTACTCCTCACCAGAACCAACAGTCATCTGCACCATTTGAGAGCAGGCCCATGTCTTTCAGGACAGCTGCACCGACGATGGCTACGCCTCATCCAAGCCAGGCGGCACCATACTCGACCAGGGCCACGTCCGTCGCCCAGTCGGGGGATGAGTCTCAGCCCCAGACGCCCACGTCGTCGAGCTGTCACAGGTCCCCCCACGCCCACCGCCGCACCGAGTCCATGGCCAGCATGCAAAGTGCCGCCTCCATCTCCAACATCAACTTTGAGGAAGCCAAGCTAGAGACGGGCATCTCGCACGAGGAGATTTCCCGCTACATCATCGGCCCGGACCCAGCCGACGCCAAGTGGACGTGCACCTTTGACGACTGCGGCAAGAAGTTTGGCCGCAAGGAAAACATCAAGTCGCATGTGCAGACTCACCTCAACGATCGCCCCTACCAGTGCCCCTCGTGCATCAAGCGCTTTGTAAGGCAACACGACCTCAAGCGTCACGCCAAGATCCACACGGGCATCAAGCCTTACCCATGCGAGTGCGGCAACAGGTTCGCCCGGCACGATGCCCTGACGCGCCACAAGCAGCGCGGCATGTGCGTCGGTGCCTTTGAGGGCATTGTCAAGAGGAACGTCAAGCGTGGCCGCCCCCGCAAGCCGCGTCCCGACATGGACGACCGCATGGACAAGGCGTCGAGGACCCGGAGAAAGAATGCCTCGACCAGCTCTGTTTCATCGTCCCAGTCGTTCTCTCAGTCAGACAGTTCGGCCGCGACGACGCCCGTCGACTCCAGCGACATGTTTGACGACCTTCTCCATTTGTCGACTGGCATGATGCACAGCCAGCACCAGAACCAGCAGCTGCCCCAACTTCCTCCGCAGCAGAGCCACTACCCCCACGACAACAACCCGTCCTCGTCTGCACCCATGCCCTCGTCTTCCAGCGGACCCTTTGGCAGCGACGGCGGACCCTTTGGCAGCGACGGTGGACCCTTTGGCAGCGAAGGCGGACCCTTTGGTAGCGACGGCGGCCTGTCACCCTCGTCGTCCCACCAATCATTCGTCAGCCCGCACGAGATCATGGAGGGCAGCACGCCTCAAGTGTCGTCTCCCGAGAGCCAGATTCGCACTCCTCCTAAGCATGAACTGACAGACGGGCAGCTGGCCATGCTGGTCATGAACCCTTCTGCTACGACGACGGCCGGCGGTCCTGGTTTGATTCCGGACTCACTACCTGGCCTGGAGGCGAGCGATGACAGCATCGGCGCGACTTCGAGCCTGGACGACCTCTTGCCGCTCGACTACAGCGGGCACCAGAGCCTGAGGTCTTCGATGACGTTTTCGGACTCCGATCACGCCGTCATAGGCCGCGAATTCAAGTTTGACGACCTGATTCATGATGGTGGTGACATGTTTGGCACTGACGAACGGGACCCCTTTTTCGACTACACCGTCTAAAACTTTTCTTCCCCTGTCTTGTTCCGATACTGACCCAACCGAAAGCTATCTTGCCCCCCTCACTTGTGCCTTTTATCAGTAACATGAGTTGAGAGGGGCAGAAGCAGTGTACGATACGAAAAGGGTGGAATAAGAGGTAATGACGGTGTTTTTTTGGCTGGGGATCACGACATGAATGTTTCTGCTGCTCTTACGCTCTTCAAAATTTCCCCCTTCTTAGCTTGATACGACTATTAATGGTGTGGAAGTCGTCCCATATATGTCTGTTGGCTATTTTCGAGAATGGTTTCGATGAATGTTATATTTTGTCAAGAGAATATTTTGTACACTAAAGAAAGGAAAATACGGGACATTGGTGAAACGAATTGGGATTGTTTATGTTTACGTTGATTTCATTCGTCTTTTCTCTTGTTTCTTTTGTTCAATTTTTTTTTTTTTGGTTCATTTCTGTTTCTATCTGTTTTGTTTAAAAGGGGGTCTCTGATGGGAGGATTTGTTCAATGTCCTCAAAGGAAAGATATGGGGAAGGGGTTTTTCGCGTGCTTTTCTGGTTTTTTGTTTTTTTTTTTTGAATGACTTCAAATTATTTTTCTCTTCAACCCGATGATGGATGATGGATGACTGGAGGAACTGCTGTTGCTTTGCTCAGTCAGTCTTGTTAATGTCTGTCTGCCTACTGTCTAGTTATCTGCGTGTCGTTTAAGAGGAGCATGGTTGACCGAGGGACGGGGAAAATTGGGCCTGGTTTCGAATGTCTTTCGTGTCATGGCTTGCTCCAGGTAGATAATGGGACTTAGATTGGGAATGCTATCATGCAGTGTGTATTAATCTGAAGTTGTCGTGGTGATGTTGTAATCGATGATGATGTGGTTGTGGGAGAAGAAGTGGTGAAGTCAACGTTAAAGGTAAGATGACAAGTGGTATCACTACGTACTGAGCCATGCTGCCGATGGTGAGAGTAGTAAGAATAGCATATGGCAATGCCAAGATGTGTTTGTTAGAGTATTATATCACTAGATTGATGTCCGTCCATGTTACCACCATCAGCATCAAATTATCATGTTGACATGTTAAGATTCATGATTCAAGATGGCTACCGGGTAAGCTGAATTGAAAGAAGGCGTGATGATTTTACGACACGCAGACAGTAGCAGTAGCAGCAGCAGTAGCAGTAGTAGTAGTATATAGCAGCAGTAGTAGCATGCTGTATATAGCAATAGCAGTACATAGCATTACTTATTAGTAAGCAGATGGAACAGACAAGGGAGAAGAAGACGCCGGATTTTCATGACGTTCTTCAATCTCTTTTTATAGTCCCTCGACGAGCCCAATGGCATATGATGGCCAGTAAACGCCGGTATCATCCCAAATCCAACGTGTTAAATCACGAGCCAATGTCGTCGACCTTCTCCTACCTTCTCCCCCTTTCCCTTACCGCTGCTAATAGGCGCAGTAGTCATGTACGGATTATTACTATTACCACTCGTACTGATACAGTAAGTATTGCTTAGTACTGCTAGTACTAGTGACTAGTGGCCCACACCGCCCTAGAGACCCCCAAGGAGGGCAAAAAAAAGGCCTAAGCCCACTATTACCTTGTGCCCGCGGCAAGCCCAAGGTCCAACCTCCTGTATCTTCCTGTTCCCCCTCCAAACAACAAACAACAGCTGTGGCAACGCTGAATCTGTCTTTGGTCTTACAACACCGTATATATAAGACTCAATAGCCAAGCTGCCAAAAGATGTCTGCCGCTCAGCTTCTCAACCCCAAGGCTGAGTCCCGGGTACGTTCCTTTCCTTTTCCTCATCTCTCGCCTACGGTCGCAATGTGATGAGGTAGCGGTCGCGGGTGCAAGTTATGGCGGGGCTGTCTTATATTTTCGAACCGGGTTTGGCTAACGTCTTTTCATTATGATGATGACAGAGGAGGGGCGAAGCCCTCAAGATCAACATCAGTGCTGGTGAGGGCCTACAGGATGTCCTCAAGTCTAACCTTGGTCCTATGGGGACCATAAAGATGTAAGATTCCTACATATTGGGCCCTCTGGGGCGCAAGGGCTTTGTGTGGTTGGAAGATGATGCTGACCACTCGTCTTTACAGGCTCGTTGATGGCGCCGGTCAGGTCCGAAACTCCTTTTCCTCTCGATATCGATCGGATGTCCAACCCCGCAGACGATATACGATATATATATATATATATATATACATACTGACTGATGCTGCAGATCAAACTTACCAAGGATGGCAACGTCCTCCTCCGAGAGATGCAGATCCAGAACCCTACCGCCGTCATGATTGCACGAGCTGCCACCGCCCAGGATGACATCTGCGGCGACGGTACCACTTCCGTCGTCCTTCTCGTCGGAGAGTTGCTCAAGCAGGCCGACCGATACATCTCCGAGGGCCTGCACCCTCGCATCGTTACCGACGGCTTCGAGATTGCCAAGGTTGAAGCTATCAAGGTATGGACCTGTCTCTCCCCTTCCTTTCCTTTCGCTTCTCTCGGCCTATACGCATACATGGGGACTAGGACGGAGATTTTCGCGGGAAAGACTGACCAAAAATACAGTTCCTCGAAGATTTCAAACTCACCAAAGAAGTCGACCGAGAGCTACTCCTCAACGTGGCCCGCACGTCCCTGGCGACCAAGCTCAACTCGTCGCTGGCCGCTAAGCTGACACCCGACATCGTCGACGCTGTACTGTCCATCTACCAGCCTCCCGCGAAGCCCGACCTGCACATGGTGGAGATCATGAAGATGCAGCACCGCACAGCCTCGGACACGCAGCTGATCCGCGGCCTGGCCCTGGACCACGGCGCGCGCCACCCGGACATGCCCAAGCGACTGGAGAACTGCTACATCCTGACGATGAACGTCGGCCTCGAGTACGAGAAGACCGAGGTCAACTCGAGCTTCTTCTACTCGAGCGCCGACCAGCGCGAGAAGCTGGTCGAGAGTGAGCGCCGCTTCATCGATGCCAAGCTCAAGAAGATTGTCGAGCTCAAGCAGCACCTGTGCGGCAACGACGGCAAGAAGAACTTTGTCATCATCAACCAGAAGGGTATCGACCCCCTCTCGCTCGACGTCCTGGCCAAGAACGGCATCCTTGCCCTCCGCCGCGCCAAGCGGAGGAACATGGAGCGCCTCCAGCTCATCTGCGGCGGTGTCGCCCAGAACAGCGTCGAGGACCTGTCCGAGGACGTGCTCGGCTGGGCCGGCCTCGTCTACGAGCAGACCCTGGGCGAGGAGAAGTACACCTTTATCGAGGAGGTCAAGGACCCCAAGTCGGTCACCATCATGATCAAGGGCCCCAACCAGCACACAATCTCCCAGGTCACCGACGCCGTCCGTGACGGCCTCAGGAGCGTCCACAACATGATTGTCGACAAGAGCGTCGTCCCTGGAGCCGGTGCCTTCCAGGTCGCCTGCGCCGCTCACCTCAAGAGCGACGCCTTCGCCAAGAAGGTCAAGGGCAAGGCTAAGTGGGGTGTCGAGGCCTTTGCCGACGCTCTCCTGATTATCCCCAAGACGCTGGCTGCTAATGCTGGCTACGATGTTCAAGATGCTTGTGAGTTTCTTCCTGACCTCCCC